GTCTATTTTTTAGTATTTTTTTTAAATGTGAGCGATTGTCCATTAATTTATCTACAATATTCTTTAATATTCGTTTAAATCCGACATCAAATAAAAAAGTTATTTGCGATTGAAATTCATCGAAAATTTGTGTGGGCCGATTATTTTGCACGTGAGTGTATATTGAATCAACAGTTTTTGTGGTTAAATATATTCAATATTTTTTTGGATTTAAATTAATAGTTAATTTACATCCAAGAAAATATTAAATGTATTTAACCGCAAAAACTGTTAATTCAATTGTTAACATACATTTTCTCACAATGTACGAATGTGGCGCAAAAATAAATATCCAAACATGTCGGTGCACCGATGGCATAAAAAATCATGTCGTGATTTTTTATGCCCAAACACCGACAGCATAAAAAATCATGTCGTGATTTTTTATGCCATCGACAGCCTAAAAAATCATGTCGTGATTTTTTATGCCATCGGTGTTTGGAAATTTATTTTTGTGCCACATTCGTACATTGAGAGAAAAAGTATACCTACATATATGTATATTGAATCAACAGTTTTTGTGGTTAAATATATTCAATATTTTTTTCGATTTAAATTAATAGTTAATAGATTAAAAGAAAATATTAAATGAATTTAACCGCAAAAACTGTTGATTCAACATAATTTTTCTCTTAGTGTACGAACGTGGCGCAAAAATGATTATCCAAACACCGTTGGCATAAAAAATCACGACATGATTTTTTGTGCCATCGGTCAATCGCAAACAGCGATGGCATAAAAAATCACGACATGATTTTCATTTCTCACGCAGTGACATCCGGACGTGACGTTCGTATGATTTTCATTTATCACGTGACTTCCGTATGATATCAGTATGAATAAAATTTGTGAAAATCACGACATGATGTTCGTATGAATATCACGAATGTTGTCCGGGAAGAAGTGTCATTTTGTGCTTTGCTAAAACTTTGAGCTCAGCACAAAAATACTCACTTCTCAAAATTATGACATAAATAACTGTTATTTAACCACATTACATTAGAAATATTTATGGCAAGTAAATATACATTTAAGTTTGTTTTTTTAGATGCAAAATTAAATAAATATCTAATTAAGGACGAAAGTCTCTTTTCGGTAAATCTGTGAGGTGTAACATTGGCAACACTGCCTTCCCTCGTAGGGCTTGTGTACTGTGATATGAATGTAAGCAGTTAACATCCAACAGCGTTTTAATGAACACAATCCCTAACTGCATTACCTACCTGACGATCCACATTATCACATGGCGCAGTAAGGTTATAAAAGAACCGCGTTGACTGTAAAAATATAGCATTAAAATGGATTTTCGCGGAATACCAGCGATGAAAGTCACCGGCGAAAGACAAAGATTTGAAACATATATATCTACTTTCCTACTGAAAAATAAAGCCGTCACCGTACATACAATGTACGTACATACGTATGTCGACATTGATCCGACGTCGGAATAGAATCGGCCATAGGATGTGGGCCAGCAGACGTCGGACGTATGTTCGCACAAGTGGCCGATGTCGTTATCGTGTCGCCAACTCATTTCGTACAGATATATCTATAGTAAATTTAAAAGTAAACTACGTACACGTCATCAATCAGCTGATCGGGCACGGTTGTCAATGTGATGCTAAAATCCTTGCATCAAGGGAAAGTGGTAGTGCAACTACAGAGCCATAGATGGCGTTTACATGAATAATACCAAAATGTCAAAAGTCTGAGTTTTTATAACCTATATGATGCACCGCCAAAAGTATGTTTTTAGCCATTTTTAAAGACATTTTCTGATATAAAACCCAAAAATTTTGCCATCTAAAGTCAGTCTCTGGTATATATATTATTATTTCATGTATCCAACATATATTTCGTTAAATATTCTAATATATAATTAATAATAATCCTATTTACCTCTCTAACAGCTGTTAAAGGTAACAAAGGTCCATTATTATCCCGTTCTGCCTCAAAATAGCGTATTAAGGATGACACCAACTCTTGACTCCGACTATTTAAATGCTTCGGCATTTTAAATATAGGAAACACAAAAAAACGATATATAACAAACACAAAAACGGCAATGAAAACTTAAACGATATAAAATAACATAAACAACAAACAAAATAAACGAAATAATACACGAATTAAACGAAATATTCAAAATCACAACTGACAGCTTCGAAAATCTAAAACGTCAAATTCTTTTATATGTGTCATTTAAATATGAAAAATTTGAATGTAAACATGACAACATCACAATTGTTGCCAACTTAATTTGGTTAAAATGCATTCAAATATTCAATTACAGACTTCGATTTAGTCATTTAGTGTTGGTACCAATGCGTAAAATTTTTGTTTTATTGATGACGTGTACGTAGTTTACTTTTAAATTTACTATATATATATATTAGGGTGTTTCAAAAAAATCGACTTTTTCTTTTTCTTCAAATGGTCAGCAAATTCTTTTAGAGGATGTCAAAACAAAGACCTCGTTAAAATTTGAGCTTTTAATTTAAAGATTTAGAGGTCGCGGATCGCAATTTTCTATTTCCCATTTAAATAACATAGGAAATTTTTTGTTTTAACTTTGGAATTTTATACGTCTATATCGAATCAACTTATGGCAAGGGACATCTTATATTTTTATAGTAAATTTAACGCTCTATACAAAATGTCTCTTATAATTTTTCTATAAATTGATTTCTTCCAGATTTATTCGAGGCCAAAGTTTGATTTCCATCGAATTTTCTCGTTTTTTCAACTTTTAGCATAATGTAGTAAAAAAATCACATATTTATATCTGAAACATAGGAAGTGTTGTAAAAAAACAAAAAAACAAAAAAACGTCACTTTTTTCCAAAGCCTACTACAAAGTTTTAATGAAAATATGAGATGTGTATAATATGCAGAGTAATTTATATATGCATTTTTCTCGAAAATGGTGCATCTGAGCAATTCAAATCAAGAGTACCTATTTTTCGTAAAAAACTATAAATTCTCATAATTTCATAAAAAAAATTAAATTATTAACCCAGAAAAAAGTTGGGGCTATTTTTGTAACTTTGCCCCCTCCAAATGTTACGCCTATGATTAAATTTTAACAGTTTTGATCGTAGATCTAGATTCAGCATGTCAAAATTCTAAAAGTACCGAAAATTCATTTGTTCATGTTCAACCCTCTAGGAATAGTTTTAAAAAAATTATCCTCTTAGGTTCCTATTCAGGGGGCCGTAGCTCCTTTAGGGAGCATTTTTTGATACATGTTTATTAAACAAAAAAGTGTTATTTTTATACGAATAATGCACTGTTTAAGTTTGGCCCCCCTAATTTCGGTTTGGCCCCGTATAATGATAATTGTACCATAAATGTTAAAAAAACGCGAAAATTCGATGGAAATCAAACTTTGGCCTCGAATAACTCTGGAAGGAATCAATTTATAGAAAAATGATAAGAGACCTTTTTTGTAGAGCGTTAAATTTACTATAAAAATCTAAGATGATCCTTGACATATTAAGTTGATTCGATTCAGACGTATAAAATTTTAAAGTTAAAAAAAAAAATTCTCATGTTATTTAAATGGGAAATAGAAAATTGCGATCCGAGACCTCTAAATCTTCAAATTAAAAGCTCAAATTTTGACGAGGTCTTTGTGTTGACATCCTCTGAAAGAATTTGCCGACCATTTGAAGAAAAAGAAAAAGTCGATTTGTTTGAAACACCCTAATAAATATATATATATATATATATTTACATATATGTAAATGTACGGGGGTGGCCGATGTCGCTGATATGTCGACCAACGCATGTCGCACCGATATTAAAATAAGTGCAGGTAGCCGATATGTGAATGCGCGCATTCTCGAGGTTATATTATTTTTCTGTGCATCCATGCAACCATGGTTATAATTATTACAGTTTAACATAAATGCCAGAACATGTTCTTCCAAAGTTTTTATCATAGAAAAAATAAATAGGACTCAAGAGTTGTTTCAAAATAGAGCTAGGAATTTAAAAGAAAAAAAGAAATAAATTTAAGAAAAGAGAAGTTCAACCAGGCTCTGCGAAATTTGAAAGTCTGAAGAAATAATAAGTGGTAATTAATTGGACTTACGATGACCATATACAAGATACATACACCTTAAGATAGGATGGGGCTTAAATACGTCACTTAATGAGTGTTTTTAAATCTTTAACGTGCGTTTTAATTATCTGCTGCTAAAATTCTTGTTTTTGCGATGCTGTTGGATGTTATAACTTGCTCTATTTTTTTGTTTAACTTGTTGTTTTTGCGTTCGGTAAGGTTCGAATTATTATTATTATTATTTCTGTATTCGCACGGCCTCTACTCATCAAGTGACGTCATGCGCGGCACGAACCAAAACTCGTATACGGGAGCATCCAGCCCTGGACCATATACTAAGCTCCACACATTAAAGTCACACTTTGACCTTTTTAAAACTTGAGTTAAGGCATTTTAGATTTGTGTTAAAGTATATTGTCAATATTGACTTTTCATTTAAATTTTAAGTAAAATATTTTAAAATTTTAAATTGTTTTATTGACTATAGTACATAGGCGACTTCGTTCCGATAAACATATTCCAAGATCATTGCGACAGAAAATGGCCGAGCTCGTTTAGACATTAGCTGGTCGAGGTCGTAACGACAAAAAATTGCCGAGCTCGTTTCGACACATTGTGACAGGGGTCGGAACGACATCGGCCAGCGTTACGATTATCGGCCAATGCCGTGGCCGAGCCGAGCTCAGTCCGACTTTATTTTTCACTCGCAATTGCAACAGAGATCAGCAAAAAAGAAGAAACTACCCAATGTGCCCAGCTCCTCACATTAATTGGAGAAGAAGGCATAAGAATATACCTATAATACTTTTAACATCCTCGAAAATGAGAAGAATAAAATCAGGTTGAATCACATTTTAACCCACGCCGCAACATAACCTATCAAAGGCATAAACTCCTTACCTGCAAGCAACGAGAAGGAGAAACTGTAGAACAATATATTACAGAGCTTAAGAATTTGGCTTTGGCGTGTGAGTTAAAAGATTTGAAAGACAGCTTAGTAAAAGATATTTTAATATGTGGATTACGATGTCAAATTATGAGAGAGAGACTATTGCAAGAAGATCATAAAGATTTGGAAGATGCTATTAAACTTTGCAATAACATGGAAAAAAACGAGAGAGTGTAATAAAGAAATCAGTGGAGCTCAAGATAATCTACGGGTGTTGATGCCATAAGACGTTGGTCAGTTGCCAAACCAGCAATGAAGTATCCCATCAAGAAGTACCAGTTCAAAGGCTACCAAAAGTTGAAAATAAAGGTCAAATGTACAAGAAGTGCCAAAAATGCAATCGAAGCCATGAATATGGAAAATGCCCTGCTTATGGACAAAAATGCAACAAATGTGGGACAATGAATCACTTTGCTTCCTCATGCAAATTTAAAAGGGATGGTAAATTTTATAAACAAAATGTAAATTCAGTAATCGCTGTAAATAAAACAAATAATAATTTTTGAATAATTTTACCGATGTTAATTCTAGATATGATTATTAAAATTTGAGTGAGACCTAGGAATAGCATAATGATTTTCTATTTATAGGTAGTATCGAAACCTTGAGTGGTACAGAGGACAATAAAGTCATGGAATCATTAAAATCATTAAAATCAATGGTAAACAAGTAATGGTCAAACTAGATACAGGTGCTGTAGCCAATATCCTGCCTCTGGAAAACTTTTGTAAGTTAGATTTTAAACATGATAATCTTGAAAAATCTACTGTAAACTTGACTTATTATACGGGAGATAGTCTGCCTATTTTGGGTAAATGCAAACTAACATGTAAATATAATAAAATATCTAAATAATTAACTTTTTATGTAGTCAATTTGAAGGGCTGTTGAATTCTGGGGTTGAAAGGATGTATTCAGTTAAACATGATTAAAAGGGTAAACTTGATTAAGGTTAAAAAACATGCGATAGTATTTCACAATTAGTAAAAGATAATAATTTGCTATTTAAAGAAATAGTCTGTTTAGAAAAGCCATATAGTTTAGATTTAAAAGAAAATGCGAAACCTATAATTTGTTTGCATAGGCGAGTTCCTTTTGCCATTCAGACAAAATTAAAAGAAAGTTTAGAACAACTTAAAAAAGATAATATTATAATTAAAGATGATACAAGTGCTGAATGGGTTAATCCCATAGTCATAGTTAGAAAACCTAATGGGATTTAAGAATATGTTTGGATACCAAATATTTAAATGAAAATGTCAAAAGACATATTTTCCACATACCAACTTTGGAAGAACTAACAGTAAAGTTGGCAGGCTCTAAGGTATTTAGCACCTTAGATTTGTCACAGGGATTTTTGCAAGTTAGGTTAGATTCAAAAAGTTCAAAATTATGTAAATTTGCAACACCTATGGGCAGATATCGTTTTTTACGTCTGCCATATGGCATAATTAGTGCACCCGAAGTATTTCAGGAACGTATGACTGAGATTTTTGGGAGAGAAGAGAGCTGTGCACTGCACAGTGTGCAGTGTACATAGATGACCTAATACTTTTTTCTAAAACGGAACAAGAGCACGTAGAACTTTTAAAAAATGTTTTTGTAATAGCAGAAAAATATAATTTAAGATTTAAATGTAAATTCGGTCTTTCAGAGGTTAAATATATGGGTCATGTTGTTTCCGAATCTGGAATTACACCTGATGGTTCTAAGGTAGAAGCCATTAAAAACTTGCCAGTGTCTAAAGATAAAAAAGGCCTTTAGAAATAGAATTTGTGTAGGACGAGAATCATCAAGAGTCTTTTGAGAATTTAAAAAAGATTATTGCTGAAGCTCTTTGCTTAAGGTATTTTGATCAAAGTCAAGAAATTAAAATTTCAGTACATGCTTCTCAAAATGGCATGGGGACATCTTTAATGCAAAATGGAATGCCGTGTGCGCATGCCTCAAGAGCTTTTACATCAGCACAAAAGAATTATGCCCAGATTGAGAAATAACAATTGGCCATTTGGTTTGGGTGTGTTAAATTTCACCAATATGTTTTTTATTGTAAATTCCAAGTAGAAACTGATCATAAACCTTTAATTTCTATCATAAATAAACCTATAAACTCTTGCCCAGCACATTTACAACGAATGCTCATTCAACTGTAAAAGGGTTTTATTTCCCGGGGGAAAACTTTCCTTTTTAAGCTTGGCGTCACTTACCGTGCAGACTTTCTAATAAAATCTCGGGCGCCAACTTCAACGGGTTTAAAGTGGTTGAAGTTCCACTATGTGCGAGGGTAGCTTTTAGGGTCAACAGTGGAGATAAAATTCCAGGGTTCCGGGGAATTTAAGAATAAATGGTGTGTTTCGGTTAATACATATATTTAAATAACTCCTCGCATGTACAAAGCAATAAATAAAATGGAAATGAATTTACAAAGAATAATTTGAAAATAAAAGGGAAGTCTCTGAAACAAACAAACAAACAGAAAATTAGTTACTACAACTTACTTTATCTTCAGCAGTCGGACGGTCGGGTGGCGGTCGGTCGGTCGGAGTACTCGCTGCACTGATGAGAAGTGATAAGTGATCCCTTCGAAGGCGCTGCGCCCGCTTATATGCCCTCTGGTCTCCCTCCTATGGCCGGCTGCGCGAGCCTCCAGCATGATGTCAAGATTGACCAATCCCGGCGTTGTGGCAAATCTTTTGACATGACGGTGCTCTCGGTTGCTGCTTGGCATAAAAACGCTTCGTCGAAAGGCAGAAGTAAACAATCTGGCTGTTTTTTGCTGTGCGCTTTGACTGTCCTACGGGTCATTCCGGTGGGGCGCTACATATGGGCTATTCCGGGGTCGTTTATGACTTATGTGAAATAAATCATTTAAATCGGGATTCTGTAACACAGGGTAGGGATAGGGAAAAAGTAACTTCGTTACATCCCCCCCTTACTTCGGAAAAAAAGAAATTTAATTTCTTTTTCTTTTGACCTGACGTCACGGGGATATCCTGTCGGATATCAAACGGGGTGTTCTGGGCTTTTCACACGTTATTGCTGGGTTTGTTTCGGGGCGTGTGTTCTGGGACTATTTCAAATTGAAACAGTGTTAATTTCTGGGCACGGGTTTCAGGTCTTTGATATGTATTCGGTTTAACTTTCGTCCTGTCTCTCCTTTGAGCTCATACACGACGGGCGAAATGACTTTAGTTACCGTGTAGGGGCCGGAGTATTTCGGGGCAAGTTTTGCGGCGAATCCTTTGTCGGCGGAGGATAAATGGACCTCCCGTCTCATTACTTTATCGCCAACATGGCACCTCCATTCTCGGCGTCGTAAGTTATAATGCTTACTCTGGGTAGTAAATGCTCGGGCTAGATTTACTCGGACAAGTTCAAAGATTTCTTGCATGCGGGCCAGGTGGTCGGCATGTAACCTTAAGTCGGCGTTAGTATTTGCGCTTTCGGGTTCGGGTTCGTTTGTGTCTCCACCATCGGGTTTTCGGTACGTAGCCTTGGGGACTTCAAGTTCTCTACCAAAGTTTAGAAACGCCGGAGAAAACCCGGTGGATTCTTGTCGGGAGGAGTTCAGGGCAAACACTAAGTCAGGCAGGTTATGGTCCCACTTTTTCTGGCCGGACTCGCAGAACTGGGCGATCATGGTTTTGATCGTTTTGTTCGCTCTTTCTACTGGGTTTGCTTGCGGGGTATACGGCGGGGTAAACCGATGACGGACGCCTAGTCCGGTCAAGAGTTCCTCAAATACTTTACCGGCGAACTGGGTGCCATTATCGGATATTATGGTTCGGGGGCACCCAAACCTTGTTATTACTTTCTCGTATAAGGCTTGGGTTACGGCCCGCGCTGTGGCATTTCGGAGTGGCTGACATTCCACCCACTTAGTAAATCTATCCTGCATTACTAAGAGGTACGCATGTCCCTTGGAAGATCTCGGGAGCGGGCCTACCAAGTCTATACAGACGGTGTCCCACGGGTTCCGATTTACGGACGGTTGCATTTTGCCGGGTGCTTGCTGCTGGGAAATTTTGTATCTCTGGCACGACGAACATTTTCGGACATATGCGGCGATATCGCGAAACATACCCGGCCAGTAATATCGGTTGGCAATTCGGGTGATCGTTTTCGCGATTCCCATATGTCCGGCGGTTGGGGCGTCGTGATTCTCCTGGAGAACGCTGACACGCGTTTCTTTTGGAATACATAGTTTCCACGGGTCGGCCATTCCGGGTTCAGTCAGATCTCCTGAGACCCAGAAATGGCGGTATAATCGGTTCTCACGGACACAGTAATCGGGAAATGCATTGGGGTTTTGTTGTACCTCCAATCGCTTTCGGGTATACCACGAACAGTTTTCGTTATTCGGCATGGTCACAACGGCCACGATCGGGATTTCGTTCGGCAGGGGGTCTCTAGATAGAGCATCGGCGATACGGTTAAGTATGCCTTTACGGTATTTTATCTGGAAGTCGTACTGCTGGAGAAACAAGCTCCATCGGGCTAGACGTCCAGCAGGACTCTTTATGGAGTGCAACCACTGCAGACTTTGATGGTCGGTAATAACGGTAAAATGATAGCCTTCCAAATAAGGGCGCATTTTTTCGATGCCCCAGACAATGGCAAGACATTCTTTTTCGGTCACGGAATACGCTTTTTCAGCCGGGGCTAAAGTGCGACTTGCATAGGCAATCACATGATCCCCATCGGCGGAGTTCTGGGTCAGTGCAACTCCTAGCCCCTCGTCGGAGGCATCGGTTTGTAAAACAAACGGTTTTGAAAAATCGGGGCAGGCCAGAACGGGAGCGGAGGTTAGACTGCTTTTTAGAAGCTCAAAAGCTTTGTCTTGTTCCGCCTCCCAGGCCCAACGGTGTCCCTTTTTCAACAGGCGGTTTAGCGGTGCGGCGGTCTGGGAAAAGGACGGGACAAAGCGACGATACCATGAGGCCATGCCTAAGAATCGTCGCAAGCTTCGGATATTTTTCGGGGCCGGTAGTTCCCGGATCGAATTCACTTTATCAGGGTCAGTTTGAATACCATTCGAGGTAATCAGGTGCCCCAAATACTTAAGTGATTTCCGGCCAAATTGACATTTGTCGGGATTTACTCGGAGACCGGCGGCTCGGAGACGGCTAAAAACCTCCTTCAGGTTTTGTAAGTGCTCCTGAAAGGTCCTGCCCAGGATGATTATGTCATCCAGGTAGGCGAAGCAGAACGGATCAAGTTCAGGGCCTATTATGCGGTCCATCAGCCTCTGAAAGGTAGCGGGAGCCGAGTGTAGGCCAAACGGCATTACTCGAAATTGGAACAGCCCCCGCCCCGGCACAGTAAAGGCGGTTATCGGCTTACTGTCGGGAGTGAGCGGGATTTGCCAATAACCTTGTTTAAGGTCGAGACTCGAAATATATCGGGCGGCTCGCAACTTATCCAGGATGGCGTTTATAAACGGTAGTGGATATGCATCCTTTCGGGTTATTGCATTAACTTTTTGGAAATCAATACAAAAACGGGGTTTTCCGTCCTTTTTCCGGACAATAACCACTGGCGAGCTCCATGGACTCCGGGACGGTTCGATTATGCCTTCGGCCAGCATTTTATCGACCTCTGAGTTAATAATCTCTTGCATTCGGGGGTTTTGCGGCCGATAACGCTGTTTTATCGGTTCGGGGTTTGTCAGTCGTATCTCATGACTTACTAGAGATGTGGTTCCTTTTATATTCTCAAAGGCGGGTA